GTCGCCTCCGGGGCAGGCGGGAATTGAACTCATGCGGAAGTGGCTTTAGTTTCTTAGTGCAGTGCTTTAACCCGCTGCGCCACCAGGGAGGGCCCTAAGTTTGATTTTACTCCAGATAAATTGCATTCAATATAAAAGTAAAAAAAAATTTTGAAGGCATTTTCATATAATTCAGATTCTGTGATGCTATCATATATTAATTGAATTTTCTCATATGAGATATCAAAATATTTTTATACTTTATTTTCTTAATGAACTTAATCGGGCTTGTGTTGAAAAGCATCCTTTATTCATTTCTATGCGAATAACAGTTTTCCTGCTTAACTTTGGCTTTTTGACCATTCTGAGAATTGATTTAAAAACCTCATTTTTTTCTCTCTCAATGAATCACAGCAATCTGAGTACATACATGAATATAGCAAAAGGTGGAGGAAATGGAGACCTTGTTAACACAAGAGAACTGTGATTCTTCTGCTTTCACCCCTGTGCAGGGATGTTGCACATGTCATTCTTTATAGCTTCTGGCCTCTGCAGCTGTGACCTTTACGGGGTTATTCACTTTTTATCCACAGGGGGAAAATTTGGTTTAGATGTTAGGTGGAAATCACTAGCCTAATTCAATTCCCCTTTAAGGTGAGATTGGCCTTTTTATGTCTCCTAGGTTGAAGTTGCATTATGCATCCTATGAACCAACAATGAGGGTGTTACATGAAAAGCACCACACTTTATTGAAGCAGAAAATGCTGACCTCCTTGGAAAGAGACAGAGCAGTTGGGCAGGTAAAGAGATTTTCAAAGCTACCTCAACATATCTTTACCATTTTATTGTTTTGAGAGCATAAGTAGAAATACTGGTTTTCTTTTAGAGATAAATTTAAACAGGCTTCACCAATTTTCACATAAAAATAGGATTCATATAGAAGCATTCAGAAATGTATTTTTGTGTTTTTTTAAACCTTTATGATTAAAGTAAACTTTTAACTAAGATGTAAATTTATAGATTACTATATCATTGAGAAATTTGTATGAGATAATGAATAAAAAGCTCCCTACATTTTTTTTCAAGATTTATTTATTTATACATATAGAACTGGGGTACAGGCCAGAAGTGTAGAGGTGAGACGATTCACCAGAGACAGAGTGGGGAGCAGGGCAAGCAGATTAACTGAAACACACTGCTGAGAGGAGCAGCGGGCTGTTCAGGAGAGGTCTGCCGCGCTATATGGGTCACCCCCCTGGCGGGGAAAATAGTTTCATAGTCTGTGCTTTAACCTGTTGCACCACCTGGGAGGGGCCAGCTCCCTACAATTTTTTTTTTTTTTAAGATTTTAAGATTGTTCATACAGAACTGGGGTACCGGCCAGAGGCTCAGGGGTGGCGAGAGGCTTCACCAGAGACAGAGCGGGGAGCAGAACAGGCAGATCTATGAAGTATACTGCTGAGGGGAACAGCGGGCTGGTCAGAAGAGGTCTGCTGCGCCATGTGGTCACCTCCGAGACAGGCGGGGATCGAACTCATGCGGAAGTGGCTTTATCTTCTCAGTGCAGTGCTTTAACCCGCTGCGCCACCAGGGAGGGCCTCCCTACAATTTTTTGCATAGACATAGGGCAGTGATGAGAGTTCCTGGAATAGAGTTAAAGAAAAATAATGCAAAATGTTTATGGGCCTTGTTTAAAATATTAGTAACAGCTTATTAGCAAATATTTTAATACTTAACATCCGTTTATTATGTTATATTTAACATTCTTTTATTATTTTCTGGGTTTCATCGTTACCAAGTTTTCCTAAGGTGCAAAACCTTGTATGTTGGTTGTGTTCTTCTTTTATTTTATTAAGACATGCTTTAATCCAAGTGTATTCTGCCTTTTCTGGAGTATAATTCTTAGCTACTAAAAAGCACAGCATCACTTGTCTGCTTGCCTGTGCTTCAATCTTCATTTTGTATTTTAAATGGTTGGATTCTATTACTAGTAGTGGGGCATAAAATGACTTTAATAATAATTTACATTTTTGTGACATTTATGACAGGTCTTCAAAATGTCAGCTCTATGATCTTTTCCACAAGGGCAAGACATCTTGGGGGACTAGAAGCTAGATTCAGTTTGCCCCTATTTCTTATCCTGCCACAAACTCAGCCTAGACTTTTTTTCTACTTGTCTTATTAAATTCCCAGCTTCGTATTTATCTCCCTGCCTCCCTTCTTGATTGTAGAATCTATTAGTGACCCATCCATGCATTCCCAATCAACGGATATATCTATCCTACCCTCTCTGACTGACCACTCAGACTGCATTTCACTGGTCAGGGCTAGTAAGGCTTCCCATGCCTCCATGCTGGCCTATACTCCCCTTTGTTTATTTATTTATTTACTTATTTGTATATACAGAACTGGTGTACAGGCCAGACGCTGAGGGGTGGCGAGAGGCTTCACCAGAGACAGTGGGGAGCGGAACAGGCAGATTGACGAAGTACACTGCTGAGGGGAAAGGGCGGGTCAGGAGAGGT